ATAAATGAAAAAAATTTTTTTAATTCATTTTAATGAACATTTACAGAGATTTTGGATTTCCACTCATTCATTGTTGCATTTTTCTCCCTGCCCCAACTCTCCCCTCCAGTTCGCCCTTCTCTTTAAAAAGTAAAAGAAAAATTCCTTCATTGATATACAATTGTCCCTACCCCCCACCCCGAGTATGCTCCACTACACACCTTCATTCTGGACCCTTGTCATAACGATAATACCCAGCCATATATCGCTATTAAACTGTTCTCTCCCTCATCTGTTTCAATGCAGTATACATAATTTTTCTCAGTCTCACCCCAAGCCTGATGTCAGTCCCATTCTACAACAGTGGCACTATGCAATATTTGTCTTTTTGTGACTGAGATATTTCACTCAGCATAATGTCCTCCAGGGTCGCCCATTTTTAATAATATTGCATGAGTTCCTTGTTTTTCAATGCTACATAGTATTCCACTGTGTGAATATACCAGAGTTTCTCTATCCATTTGTTTGTTGATGGGCACTTAGGTTGTTTCCAGCTTTTTGCTGTTGTGAGTAAAGCCACAATAAACAGGTGTGCAGATGCTTACTCTTAAAAACAAGAACTGAACTGAACTTTGAGGATCAACTTCCAGCCAAACCACAGGGATTGTAATCAACATTATGAAACAAAATGTGAATGAATTCTTGAACTTATTCTGTAAACTTATATCTACATTAAATCAAAAGGTGGGTTTTAAAAAAAACACCACCAAAACCAAATATTGTGATAAATAACACACAAAGATATGACAAAACTGTCCTAGTAAAACTGAAATACTTACTCTTGGTCATAAACTTGGCTCTCTTCTTGAGTTGTGACTTCTAACGATCTGTCATTTGAATGCTCATCTGTTAGCAGGCTGATGCTCATTTCTGTGGGAGAAGAAATGGCAGTCATGTGATCTCCTACTACATGGTATTATATCAAAATACAAAAGGACCTACCTCTGAGTTCTGCCATGATTGAGGGCTAATATATAGCCCTCAGTCAGTCAAGACTGAGAAAACTTGGTCTGTCAGACAGACATCTGTTGTAGTACATTGAGTCCAAACCAACTCATAGATGTTTCTTCAGAAGGTTTTATGAGACACCGAAGCACAGAAAATTAACCATCTTTCTCCCAAAGAGCAGCTGGTAGATTGAAACCACATGCCTTTGGGTTGGCATTGCAACTCCTTACCACTAAGCTCCCTGGCAAGGTCTAGGCAAGACTTAATTTGCAATTTATAGGGAGAATTGATATCTTTGAGCTGTGGTGCTGGAGAAGAGTATTGACTATACTATGGACTGCTAAGAGAATGAACAGGTTCGTCTGGAGAGGGTTAAACCAGGCTGCTCCTTAGAGGAAAGGATGCGAAAGCTTCATCTGACATACTTTGAACATGTTTCAAGGAGGGACCGGTCCTTGGAGATGGATGTCAACAGTGCAGGAGAAGAAGACCCTCGATGAGATGGATTGATTCAGTGACTGGGATAATGGGAGTAGATGTGTCAGAGACAGTGAGATTGGCACAGGACAGAGCAGGGTTTAGGGCTGTTGTACACAGGGTCACTGTGAGTCACAGGCAACTCGATGGCATATAACAATAACACAGGGAGTTAGTATTTGCCATTATTTTGCTTATCTATCTCACCCACATTTACTGATGTCTTTCTTCACAGAAGAATAAAATATACTAATTTTCCAGGAAATACATTTTAAAATTGTGAAATAAGGTAAGAATGTCACAAACCAAAGATTACTCAGTGTTGACATCATGGACTCATCCAAATTATAAACATTCTATTTTTTGACAATTTGTTTTGTGTTCTATTTATTTGTATGCTCAGACTTTATTTGCCTTTGAAACACATGTCCTTGTATATAGTTGGATTTATAAACGGGGGGGGGGAAATGATACCTAATTGAATTTGCAGCACCTAGAAGGAGAGGTGTGGGAGTAAGTCAGGCAAATGTCTAGAAAATCAGTCTGATCATTACAGGCAAGATCATTAAAGGTGGGCATGCATTGTACTTTGGAGACAGAAGGAGTCAAATGAAACGGGAGAAAACAGTTTCACAAGTCAGCACTGAAGAAAGCATGGCTTGATTAAGTTATGTCTCAGTAACCACACATTTAATTAGGTACCCAAGCCCTTCCTGATACTTAAGAGATTGTATGGATGTGTATTTTCTTTTCTTTTTTTTTGTTTTTGACATTTTATTGTGTTTTGCATAAAAGCTGACACAGCAGATTAGTGTCCATTCAACAATTTACACATCAATGATTCCATGACTTGACTGCTGTCCCTGCACTGCGTCAGCATGCAATCCATTTCTACTTTGCCTTCCCTCTCTCTTTCCACCCCTCCAGGTTCCCAGCCCTTCCTCCCTCTCATCTCTGCTTTTGGAAAAAGGCTGAACATTTGATCTCTTAAAAAAGAACACTCCTCCTCCTGGGTGTTGTTAATGTTATGAGCCAATATGTTGTTAGGTGACCTCTAGGAGTGTTTTAACTTGGATGTTTATTTTTAAATGAGATTTCTTTATCACCTTCTTTAAATACAGGGAAACTTCAACAGGAATTAAATTTTTAAAATTTATTGTTTTATGGATAGTAATTTTATCAATAACAAAAATTTATTTATATTCTATTTTCCTTACAGTTTGTTTGCAAAGGGCTGATAATTTGGATGAGAAATACTCATCAGATGCCAGCATTTGTGACTTGAAGGAAAGAAAGTTAACTAGGAAGTATTACAGGTCAAACTCCCACTCCAGAGAGCAGCAAGCACCACTATTAACTCCTTTAGTGTGTGAGCATGTACATGTGAAGCACTTAAACTGAATAGCTCCAAGTGCTCCCTTCTTGCCTTAAGAAAATCCCATTTTACTCACTCAGAAAGATCTGAATTACAAGGGATTCCTATGAAGAGAAGTCATCCCGGCAGATTTAAAATATTTTTCCCTATAATAGATCTATCAGAACAGTTCTTTCAGAATGAAAATACTAGGCAAAGAAAGATCTATCTGCCTGACTTCCCGAGACACACAGTCTCTTGTGGCTTGCCTTGGGCACTGGAAGCAACACTCCAGTTGCTGTAGTTGGAGAGGCCATCCTTTCTTTCACTAGAGGCTGAGCTCTTGAGGGAGGACATTTGGCTTCTGAGCAGGCTAGTTTTTGTGGGTGCTGTTGGTGTTAAAAGAAAAATAAAATAATTTGAAACAGAAGAGACACTTCGTTCAAGGCAGCTATTTCCTGGGAGCCTTGAGAGAGGAATGTAGGTTTTCTTCCCCACTCTTAGAGGATGGTTACGTCACAAATGGAATGTTGCTGGAATGGTTGTATCTCTTTATCTACATTCAAGTACTGAACCTCTTGGAGGTGAACACAGATATCTCAAAATGTGACATCAAAAACTCAAATTCACTGTCATCAAGTATATTCTGAGTCATTGGCCTTCCGCTGAGACTACATAAGAGACTGTTCCCATCAATAAGAAAAGCCTGCACACATACTTTCTTGTTATGTTGGGGTTTTGTTGTGTTTTTTGTTTGGGTTTTTTTTAAACAACAACAACAAACCCACCAAAATCCACTGTCACCAAGTTAGTTCCAATTCATAGCAACCTCCTCTGAGTGTCTGCAGTTGTAAGTCTTCAGGGGGAACATTGCCAACCCTTCTCCCACAGAAATGCTGGCAGTGTTCTCCTCTCTGACTTCAGCAGTGTCCTAATGCAAAAAGAACAGGTTGAACAAGTTAGTCCAAGCTCAAGCAAGCTTTATGAGTTCATTAAAACTGTCCAATGTACCAGCCTCATTAAATCACACACACAAAAAAGAAAATCTGAGGATGATCAATGGGAAACAGTTCTATGAGGCACACTTTCCTTTCTTCCCATCCTCTAGCTCTGCAGACAGGAGTGTGATCTACCTTGTCAGGTGGCATCCAAGGCACCTGCGACTGCATCAGCTAGTCCAAGGGACACCTGGGCTACAAGACACTCATGACGGCACTGGCCAGACCATGGGACACCCGTGACTACATCGGCCAGACCACGGTCAAGCCTCAAATTTATTTTACAATTTATATTTCTTTATTGATATTCTCCAGTTGATGGTACACTGTCATCATACCTTCTACTTCCCTTCTCCCCCGCAAAGGATTTCCTACCCTCCTCACCTTCATCTCTAACTCCCTTTTCCTCTTTGGACATATATACACATCTTACAAGTCACCCATTTATTTTTATAATAATTTACTTATGCAGTATTTGTCCTTATGAGACTGAGTTAGTTCATATAATGTAATACTACGCACCACTCAGGAGCAACGATTTTGAAAAATATTGCCTACCATGGGAAAGTAGAGAGTATTATGCCCAATTAATTCTGTGAAACTTTTTGACTACCTTTTACTTCCTGGTTCCATTTTGTATTACTGACTTTAGTTTAGGCAGAGCGGTCAGAGCTAACCTTGCCTCCTGACTAGAACCTTCCCAAGACTTTTCCTTGCTGCCTGGAAGGTCTCAATTTACAGAGACCTCAAGTATTGGAAAAAAACACCTGATGCTGATTTGTCTCATGACATTTGCAGAAAGGACATACAGAGATGCAGTCTGGCCAGCAAAAGTTCTCCACTTATTTCCATTCTTTGAATTTAAAGCTCCTGATGGGAGAAAAGACTCACCTAAAATACTTTCACTATTAAGACTACAAGAGGCACAGGTATCTAAACTCCCTCAAGACTATTGGTGAGTCACAAATATTCCAAATAAGGGGCAATTATGTTATGTTTCTCGATATTAGTTTTCTATTACCGTGATAACTTATACAAACTTAAGCCTCATGTCATTGTGACTGAGTTGGTACTGACTCATAGCTGCTCCTCTATTGAGTTTCAGGAACTGTAAAGAGCATTTTACCCATGTAAATCACTCAGTTATGTACTTCAGAAGTTTAGGGATTCTCTGAATTCCCTGCTATGGGTCTCACAAAATCAAATTCAGAGCATTGATCAGATTCAACTCTTACTGAGAAGTTTTAGGAAGAAGTGTGCTTCCAAGCCCATTTAATTCACTGGCAGATTCAGCTCCTTGCAGTGAGAGGATTAAAGTCTCTTATTTCTAAGCTGCCTCTCTTGGTTCCTTAAGGCCACTTGCATGCCTTCTGAAGGAGGCCTGAGGGTATTATGCATAAGACAGTGGGTTGTGAAACAAAAGGTTGGCAGTTCAAATCCACAAGGTGCTCCTTGGGAGAAAAACAGGCTATCTCCTCCTGTAAAGATGTACAGCCTTGGGAATCCAGCAGGAGGTCACAAAACCAACTTGTCAGCAGTGGGAAGTGGAGCATTCTTTCCTATCAGGTCAGTCTAGGACTTCCCAGGTGGCACAAGCAGTTAAGGATTTAATTACCAACTCACTGGCTGATGGTTTGAATCTACACAGAGGTGCCTTGGAGGAAAGCCCTGAGCCTGGAGAACACCATCAAGAAGTGCTGCGCTGCACACAGGGGTATCACCAACCAGAACCTATTGGACAGCGACTGGATTTCATCACTTCTTTCAATGTCAACAGAACATAATCATGGAAATGGTATATTATCACATTCAGAGGCTCCACTGACTAAAGTAGGACATCTCTGGTGTACTACTTTAGAAAATAATAATAATAATAATAATAATAATAATAATAATAATAATAATATTCTGATTTAACCAGAAAAGTAGCATCCATTTGTTATGCCCCTTTACTGTTCAATTAGATTAAGCTCATAACTATAGGTTGTACATAGGTCAGACACTCATGACCTAGGCTGCCTATTCTATGTGGGTTCCATTTTATTCTACTTTCTTGCATTTAAGGAAAACTGTTCAAACCACGGTGTTCACTGATGCCTACCTGCGTGGAGGACCTTCTTTTTTGGAATTACTTGGCTTGGAAGGCCCCATTGTACTTTTGACGCAGATGGGGACGTTATAGTTGTTTCAGCATAAGGTTGAGGTTTTGTATATTTTTCAGCAGTTGAGATCATAGAAAAGATTTCTTTTCGGTGCTTGCTTCAAATAAAATAAAAAAGAAAGAAATCAAAAGAACATTTTCATTAAAAAAATAGAGTTATATTAAAATAAACATGTAGAACACTGTAAACTAAAGGACTGCATCTTCCTCACTTTTGGTTAATACAAGCACAGTCATTTCTCATGGCCCAGCCCTAGGGTGAACCAAATGCAGCTTCACATCACATATTCCTTCTCTTCTAGTGATGTAACTTTGGAGAAGTCACTGAGTCCTCCTTGAACCTCTTCATTTTCCTCCCCTATAATAGACAGGGAGCTCTGTTGGGAAATGCTACCTATGCATATACCACATGGGATGAAGTGAGGTGCACCAGGAGAGCTTGTAGGAGAGGTTGTAAGCTGGAAAGCATTCTAGGTACTCATTTATCTAAGCAAATAATTGAAGAGAGAGCACTTTAAAAAGCTAGACAAGAGAAATGCCTGCTGCACTTCCTCCTTCTAGCACCTCACGGCAGCAAACTGTTCCAGCAAAGATATTCAGACTAGAACTACAAGCATTTTCTTAGACATTTCTTCTCTGAGGCTCTGAAATGAGCAGCTACAGAAGGAGAGTCTGCAGGGGAATTCTGTGTTGCTGTAACACCGGCAAAGCCTGATGCTGCAAGAGAGTGTGGAGAAAAGGCCTGTTTCTAGAAGGCAAGAGAAACAAGAGAGGAGCCATATACACAACAAAGCTGAAAGACGTTCAACCAGGTTACAGAAATCCTCTGTATTTCTTTTTTTATACCCACCCACATCTACTCTAGTCACTGCATCACCGCAACTCCCCAATACCAAAATCCCCCTGTGTCGGCACCCCCTGCCACACTACATCTTCCATGAGGGGAAGGACAGGCCTTACTCATCCCTACCCTCACCATAGCTCCTTTCATTTTTTATTTGTGCTTAATAAAAATGCTAAACAAGAAGAGGGAGGATTAGAGGTGTAAGTATTTATTCACTTGGTAGAAAACAAAGTTCTATGTCAACTACAGCTAAAAGAAATAAGCTGGCATAAACTCATTATCACACAGATTATAAAGAGGTATTATTAGCTGTCATGGAGTCGAACACCTGTGGTCAAAATGGTTGTCACTGGCTGATTTTCAGATGTAGTTCACCAGATGTGTCTTAGTCTGGAATGCCAATGAACCTGCTTTGTATCACAGCAATAACCTTCCATGGACAGGCGGTGGTGGTTGCATTTGCAACGCTTTGGTTGAGAAGTAAGCTGAAGTGTCTCACACAGAAGGTGAAATTTCTACTCTGAACCACCACTGCTCTCTACAAAAAAGTAGAGCAAGCAGCCTGGCAACTGGAGACCGAGCAGTGCCCTTTAACTTCTTTTGTACAATTCATACCTCTAATCCTGTGCCTTACAACAATCCTAAAACTATAGTGACTCCCATGTGCTTGATGAAAAACTGAAGGTTAAAGTGCAGGAAGCCTGAATAATAACATCTTTCTGCCTAACTCCAGAACCTGCCTTAAAAAAGACATAGAGGAAAGAAAAGAACATGTTCACTACTCACTCAAATAGCAGATGCAGACTTACTCGTCAAAGCAACTTCCAAGCCATGGTTAGGCACTTTGCCTTGAGATTTTTTCATTTGATTAACCAAAGGAAGATGGCAGTTAATGTAATGGCTGGGAATACAGAGAAGGTGATTTTACACAGTAGTGTGTAAAATCTATTTTACTCAATTCTTAGTTTACATGTTCAAATTTGAAATTCTTGAGTGGCACTAAAGGTTAACTCGCCCAGCTGCTAACCAAAAGGAAGGTAGTTCAAGTGCACCCAAAGGTGCCTCAGAATAAAGACTAGGCTGTCACCTTCTGCTGACTGCTCATGGTTAACTCCCCAGTTACAGGTCTCCTCTGACTCACAGGAGGTCACCACAGATCAGATTCAAGGCCATGCAGTTAATGTACTGGAATGCTCAAGTTCCATTCAAAAGCTGTGTCTGAGCATTGCCTACATATACTTAAGAAACAATGCTGTAGTTTATCATCTTCTGATGACTCCTAGGACCTCCTTTGTCTGTTTTCTGATTCCACACCCAAGCCCTCTCCCCAGCTCACATTAAAGCTTAATTTGCTAATCAAAATCAAATTCCCATCAACCCAATTTCAATTTGGGTTGCCCTCTGCTGGGTTTCTAAGATGGTAAATCTTAGCAGAGGACTGCTTCCTTCTTCTCTAAGAAGCATTAACAAATGCTAACAAGGTTTGAACTGCCCATCCTTTGGTTAGAAACCCAAGACTTAACCTCTTCTGCTACCACTGCTCCTTAATTTCTCAGTAAAGAGAGAATAAATTCTAATGAACAAGAAATCGGGTGAAGATTGTATTTTAAAATACTTTCCAATATTTTATCACTTTCATTTAAAAGACTACTTCCTAATAGGGTATTTGTATCTCAAGTCTTGATAGTTGAATGTTTAGTCATTTTAACAGATTTAATGTGGTTTTTCCAAGTAGTACCACAGTTAGAAATTTTAAATCTACGTATTATAAGTATATTAATGCAGAGACTGAGAAAAGGAGGCCCTAGGCAACACTAAGTGTTAAATGTGCAGCTGAAAGTTGGAAGGTCACATCTACCCATGATTCCTTGGAAAGCAATTTGTTTCCAAAATAATCACAGCCCTGAAAAATCCTATGGCGCAGCTCTGTTTGGCACACCCAGGGTCAGCAAGAATTAAAGTGTACTAGATGACAACAGCAGAGCAGGAAAAGGCCTTGGAAAGCACCCTGCCATCACACTCGGAGACCCACAGAAATGGAGAGGTTTATACACAGGCCATGGAATTCACCAAAGGCAAAGTGAGATGGACAGCCTACAGCTCCTGACATCTGAGCAACATGTGGCTTTCCCTGCCCAGCACTCCTGCTCCACCCTGCCGCTGTGTGGAGTACAACGCTTGCCTGTCTAGATGGAGAAAAACGTAAAAATTCTCCCATATCTGATCCAAGGACTTCAGAAATCACATAGAAAAGGCAATATGTAGCCTCTTGAGCCCATTATCAAAGTATGAATTCTCTACTTTAAAAATTTCTAATTGTATAATTTGATAGGGCGGGTGAGGAAAACTGGAAGTATCTGTTCTCGAAAACAATGTATTCAAATTTTGTAAATAAACTAGTATAAAAAAATAGTCAACTTGGGGAGGGGGAACGGAGGAAGGGGGGTAAAATGCACAATATAAATGAATGAAAAATCAAACTTTTCTGTAAACTTTTGTTAAAATCACAATTAAAATAAAAAATATTATTAAAAAAATTCTAAATTATATTATTCTTTCCACTCGAAGAAATCTAGGGAAGTGAGCAGGGCACCCCAGGGAGGAGGAGAACAGAGGCAGAAAGGGACACTCACTCATTGTTTCCTTCCTTCTCGCCATTGTACCACCAGTCCATGATTAAAGACTCAGAATAAAGGTCCTGCATTTTCTCCAGGTCCCGTCGCCCCTGCTCCATTTCTTTAAGCAAAAGAGTTAGATCTTCATCCTACCAAAATAAGAAAGGAACTAAATAATAATGACATTAAAAGAAATAGCCAAAGAATTCATGTGGTGGTGGTGGTGTTAAGTGCCATCGTGTATGACTCATAGAGACACTATGAACAAAAGATCTGAACCCTGTTCTATCCTGTTCCATCCTTACACTTCCTCACACACAAGAGGCCCTGGTGGCAGTCATCGTGTCAATCCACCTGCTTGAGAGTCTTCCTCTCCTTCGCTGACCTTTACCCTTCCCAGTATCATGTCCCCTCCTAGCAACATGACTAAAGTATGGAGGCAAAGGCTTATCATTCTTGTGTCCGAAAAGCACTCCAATTGCACCCTCTCCATGGCATATCTCTTTGTTCTCTTGGCCGTCCATGTATTCAGAGCTCCATTCCAACATTATAGCTCAAAGTTATCAATTCTTTTTCTGTCACCCTTACTCACTGTCCAGCTCTCAGATCCATAGCAAGTGATTGGGAAGACTGAATCAGATGCACCTTAGTCCTCAAACTGGCATCATTACTCCTCAATAATTTGAAGAGGTCCATAATTGCAGATTATCCCAGTGCATGTGTCTCCTTATTTCCTGATGGCTGGAACCAAGGGTATTAATGCAGATCCAAGCAAGATAAACACTGTTGACAGTTTCATACTCCTCTCTGTCCATCATTATGTTTCCCATAGTTCCAGTAGTAAGAATCTTTGTTTTCTTAACATTGAGATGCAATTCATACTGAAGGATGCATTCCTTGATCTTTGGCAGCAAGTGCTTTAAGTCCTCCTTGCTAAAAGCAAGCAAGGTGGTGTCATCTGCATAACACACGTTATTAATGAGCCTTCCTCCAATCCTGATGCTACACTCCTCTTCATTAATTTAAGCCTCGTTTCACAATATTGAAAGATGCTATGGGCAATATACTGAATGACTCAGAAAGCATCAAAAGATGGAGGGAATAAACAGAAAAATTGTACCAAAAAGAACTGATTGACAATGAAAAATTTCAGAAAGTACCATACGAACAGGAGCCAATGGTAATGAAGGAGGAAGTGGAAGCCACATTGAAGGCATTGGCAAAAAAATAAGGCCCCAGGAATCAACAGGATACCAATTGACTTGTTTCAATTAACAAATGGAGACTTGGATGCTCTTACTAGTCTATGACAGGAAATCTGGAAGACAGCTTTCTGGACAATAAATTAGGAGAGGTCCATATTTGTTCCCATTCCAAAAAAGGTGATCCAACTGAATGTGGAAATTATCAAACAATATCATTAATATTTGTAAGGAGGAGTGGCATCTACTTCCGTAAATAGCTTGCCTCCGGAAACCCTTTGAACCTGGAGAGAGGATGAGAGACACCCAGCCTTGAGGACTCTCCTTCACAGGGTTGCTATGAGTCGCCTGCGACTCGACGGCACTTAACAACAAACAACAATCATTAATATCACATGCAAGCAAAATACTGCTGATGATCATTCAAAAACAGCTAGAACAGTGCATAAATCGGGAATGGGATTTAGAAGAGGTTGTGGCACCAGAGATATTATTGCTGATGTCAGATGGATCCTGGCTGAAAGTAAGGAATATCGCAAGAATGTCTATTTGTGCTTTATTGACTATGAAAAGACATATGACTTTGTGGATCATAACAAGTTGTGGCTGACTTTGAGAAGAATGGGAGTCCCAGGGCAATGAATCGTGCTTATGTGGAACTTATATCAACCGAGCAGGGGGAGCACTGCATTGTTTAAAATTGAGAAAGGAGCACATCAGGGTTGTATTCTCTCTCGCTAAAGAACTTACATAGTCCTTACATTATTAAACTTGAAATGGACCTCTGCGAGAGAGAGCGCGCGAGAGGGAAACAAAGAGAGAATGAGAGAGAGAGAGAGATTGATTGATTGGTGGCACCAAGTCAACTTCAATTCTGAGCAGCCCAATACAGGACAGATCAAAACCTGAGATATAATCTGTTGTTGTTATGTGCCGTTGAGTCGCTTGTGACTCATAGTGACCCTATGTACAACAGCCCTAAACTCTGTTCTATCCTGTGCCAATCGCACTGCCTCCGATACACCAATCTTGATTACCCCAGTCACTGAATCAATCCACCTCATAGAGGGCCTTCCCCTCCTGCACCCTCCCTCCACCCTACCAAGCATGACGTCCCTCTCAAAGGACCGGCCCCTCCTTACAACATGTCCAAAGTATGCCAGAGGAAACCCCAGAATCCTTGCCTACAAGGAGCAGTCTGGTTTAACCCTTTCCAGGATGAATCTGTTTGTTTTCTTAGCAGTCTATAGTACACTCAATATTCTTCTCCAGCACCACAGCTCAAACGCATCAATTCTCCTTCTAGCCTCCTCAGTCATTGTCCAACTCTCTGATGCATAACAAGTGATAGCAAAGACCATGGCCTGTATCAGACGCACCTTAAGTCTCCAGAGAGACACCACTGCTCTTCAGTACTTTGGAGAGGTCCCTAACAGCAGACTTTCCCATGGCAATGCGCCTTTTAATTTCCTGGCTACTGGTGCCAAGAGTGTTGACTGTGGAGCCAAGTAAACTAAAGCTGTGAACAATCTCAATCTCTTCACCATCTATCCTGATGCTGCCAATTGGTCCAGTCGTGAGAATCTGTCTTCTTGATATTGAGCCGCAATCCATACCGAAGGCTGTAGTCCTTGACCCTCTGCAGCTAGCGTTTCAGGTCCTCCTCAGTTTCAACAAGCAGGGTTATGTCATCTGCATAATGCAGATTGTTGATAGATTTTCCGCCAATCCTGATGCCACACCTCTCCTCATAGAGCCCAGCCTCTCAGATAATCTGTTCTGCATACAGGTTGAAAAGGTATGGAGACAGGACACATCCCTGGCATACACCCTTTCCAATTTTGAACCATGCAGTGTTTCCCTGCTCTGTTCTGACGACTGCCTCTTGGTCCAAGTATAGGTTTCGCATTATCACGATCAAGTGTTCTGGGATTTCCATTCTTCTCAGTCAGCCATAGTTTGTTATGATCCACACAAACACCTTTGCATAATCAATGAAACACAGATATACATTCCTCTGGTATTCCCTGCTTTCAGCTAAGATCCATTTAACATTAGCTACAGTATCCCTAGTACCACGACCCCTTCTAAACCCAGCCTGGACTTCTGGCAGTTCTCTGCTGATTTGCTGTTCCAGTCGCTTTTGGATAATCTTCAGTAAAATCTTAATGATATTGTTCTACAGTTTCCACACTCAGTTGGGTCACCCTTCTTTGGAATTGGAACAAATATAGATCTCTTCCAGTCAATTGGCCAAGTGGTTGTTCTCCAGATTTCTTGGCACAACTTGGTGAGCATGTCCAGGGCAGCATCTGTTAGCTGAAATATGTCAATTGTTATACCATCTATTCCTGGGGCCTTATTTATTGCTATTCCCTTCAAAGCAGCTTGAACTTCTTCTCTCATCACTACAGGCTCTTGCTCATATGGTATTTCATTAAATTCTTCTGTGTCTGCCAGTTCCTTTCAATACAGTGGCTCAGTATATTCTTTCCCTCTTCATTTAATACTTCCTGGATCATTTAATATTCTGCCAAAAGCATCCTTGATTACAGCAACTCGAGGATTGAATTTGTTCTTCAGTTCCTTGAGCTTAAGAAATGCTGAACGACTTCAGCCCTTTTGATTTTCTGACTCCAGCTCCTTGCACATCACCATTGGTTTATGCCTACTTTACTCCATCTTTTCAGGTCCCCACTGGGATTCACTCATGTTTAAGGAGGATTCATAGTTGATTCCTTTTATTTTATTGTGGAGCTCCTGAGTTGTAGTCCATAAAGTGTTGTGCTGTTAACCAAAAGGCTTTTAATCCACCAGGTATTCCAAGGGGAAAAGATGACGCATCACATTCTGTTAAAACGTACAGCCTCATTGTAAACCCTATGGAGAGTCACTGTGGGTTGGAAACAACTCAGAGGTAGCCTGTGTAAGTTTTTAACGTTTTGTTGTTTGCTATTTATACACCAAAACCAAAGTCAATTCTGACTCAAGGCAAACTTCAATGGGGTTTCTAAGAAATGTGAACAAAAAAAAAAAAGAAATGTGAACAAAGAGGGAGGCTGGTGGACTTGAATGACTAACCTTTGAGTTAGCATACCAAAATGCTATGCACTAAACATCAGAGCTCCTTGTGCTCTATATACCAAAGCTGATGGACATTTAGGTAGTTGGCAAGTTTGTGTTGTTGTTGTTATGTGCCGTCGAGTCGTTTCCGACTCATAGCG